GGAAGGCACCCTTTTCTGGCCAGTGGGATGACATATCAATTTCTAGCAGTCTGAAATCCTTCCTCCTACCTACCTGTCAGGCAGAATCCCCGCTTCTATTTTTTCTATGCTTTTCCATTTATCTAGTTATCTTAATATGATATCATTAATTAACAAGTACCAATAAGTAGATCATAGTTTTTTTAATACTTGAGCACATTCCCAGTGCTAATATTTCTGCTTTGAGCCTGGGTGACTACTGTAGAGAGTTAACCTCATCCATTACCTAGCATTTTTTTCATACCATCCCATTAAAGGCTGACATTTCATGGTCCTAGAGGGCATCCTTCTGTAGCTTCCAACCAGCTGGCTATACAACTTTCCTTTAAATAAAACTGAATGATTGCAAAAATATTTTACCCCAGAGTATTTTTATTAGGGATTCCTGCCACCATATTAACATATAAAACAATCTGGATGTTGACACAGAAATGCAAATTTCACTATACAAAGATAAGGCTCCAATCACAATAACATGGTCCCCATATCACTAGTATTTTAATGAAATCAACTCAATGCGAATTCTCCCCAGAGTTGTGTTTATAAATATTAGACAAACCACAAAATATATCTAAACACATAACATTTTACATATGTTCCAAGCACAGACAGAAATACATGCTTTACCTACATTGTTTTCATGATCCAACATGCACTAGCACTAAAGACAAGATTGTGTGGGTACATGTATTTGCCATATGTGTGTGTGTGTGTGTGTGTGTGTATAATCCACAAATGTACACAGTGGTTGTCATGGAAAATTTTAAACTTTGAAGTTGTGGGTTTTACCCACCATGAATATGAGAGGCAAAAAGAACAGTAACATGTCACAAAGTCCTCAGCTGGGGCAAAATAAGCACAACTATGTATGAAGGCCACATCGGATGTGTCTGTACAAATACGCACATACATGAACACATGTGAATCAACAGTATGGGATATACGTATACTCACACACCTGCTTTGCACTCTGTATCTCCCTATGTTACATCCCCACCATGTTTTCCTCATTTGATTCAGGCAACTGGTGACTATCTTCTAACAAGACTTAAATAGATGTTTCCCAAAGGCTCTGCTCTATGCCTTTCAAATGGCATTTCAAGATCCCAGATTTGCTTTTGGTGTCTATTGCTTAAATTCAACAGACCCTATTGTGTCAACTCTTTCACTTAAAAACAGTTCTACTCAACAGTGAAGTTTCTGCCTAAGAGAAAAAAGATGTTGGCTGGAAGTGTTCAAATAATATATTTATGACTCCCTAGCACAAACCTGCATGGTTGGATGACATGTGATATTTATCCTGTCATATTTTTCAAATATTTTACAATGGAAAATATATTACTTCCATAATTTAAAAACTATGAGTATTATTTAATATTATTTCAAAAGGGTGAGGGCTAGATGACTTGTCATGGTTAAAACTTCAAAGAAAATGATAATGAAGCATGATTAGAAGGGGGGTACTTTGTGCAGAGCATGCAGGGGCACCCCCATGTCAGAAAATATGACTTAGGAGTTCTGGTCAAGATGGCGGAACAGACGGTCCTCAGCGTCACTCTCTCCCACAAATCAACCAATTTACAACTATAAAAATGTAACATCAGACAAGCTGGGGCTGCTGGAGCTCAGGAGAAGTGGAGGAGAGACCTACGGAGTTCATGAAGGCAGGAGAAACTGTGATGAGAGAAAGAAAAAACTGCTCTGAGCATTTCGGGCTGTGACTGCTTTAAGGCTGGAGCTGCTGAGCGCATGGAGCAGGAGCCAGCAGAAGCCACAGCTGTGCCATTTGGATAGAATTGCTTGGAGGCAGCAGGGGAGAAGAGGGCCTTGGTGGCCTCCAGGACAGCAAGACCATTAATAGGGATCCCATGGACCCATGCAGGAGTGAGGAGGCAGAACAGCTGAAAAAAGGGAGCCATTCAGAGGCCAGTGAGTCATTGCAATGGACTGGCACAGGGCCTATCCCATGGGAAGTGTTTGGAGCACAGGTAGTGGGGAACACAGGCCCACTGGGAGAACACTGGGATACAGCAAAGACAACTGACCCCCCCCCCATCAGCACAGGACCATGCAGAGGAGACTGGTCGGGAATGCAGAATTGCATGGGGTACAGTTTGATGAAAAACTCAGGCCAAGATCAAAGTTTCTACACAACCCAGATGCACCGGGTCTCTGGAGAGCCAGAAGTACCTATAAAGTCAACCATTAAACTCTGAGCTACACAAAAAGTCTTCCCCAGGGAAACAGCAGCAAAGCAGCAATTTCGCTCAACCACACAGCTCAAGTACTGGTTCCCACAGGAAGTTCCCCCATTTTAGAAGTAAGCAAAGGACAAAAAATTAGTTCCAGCCCAGGCACACTACCAGAGCTTTGGGGGCCTGCCTGGGAACAGGAGGCTTGGAGCAGGGGACCAGAACCCCCTCCCACATCCAGGCACACCACACCAGTGCCTCAGGGCCCGCCTCGTGACCTGAGGCATGGAGTCAGGGACCAGACGCCCCTCCCACAATCTGGCACACTTGCCAGCACCTCATGGCCTGCCCAGTGACCCAAGGTATGGAGCCAGGGACTGGATCCCCCACCCACAACCAGGCATACCATGCCAGCTCCTCAGGGCCCACCCAGGGACCCAATGCATGGATCCGGGGACCAGACACATCCCACAACCAGGCACACCACCAGCGTCAAGGAGGATGCCAAAAACATCACCTCCATGTGAGTGGCCCACCACGGCCACCACAATAACCATGGCTGGAGTGCATTGACACAAGGAGAGTCACCAGCAGAGATAAAGAAAAGAAGAGGATCTCTCTCTCCACAAAGCCCATTCCAGAGTGACAGAAGAAGCATCTGCTCTATGATAATATTGCAGGACCTGATCACACCTCTCAGCATTGGACAGATCATCTAGGCAACAAATCAACAGAGTAGCCATTATTCTTTTAGAAAAAAGCCAGAAAAGAGTGGGATGATATCGTATAACTTCGTATAATGTATGCTATACGAAGTTATCACCTCTCAGCATTGGACAGATCATCTAGGCAACAAATCAACAGAGTAGCCATTATTCTTTTAGAAGGAGAGAAGAAATCTTAATTAAAATCTTAATTAAAGGAGGAAGGGGGGTGGGAGATAGGGAAAGACTGGACAAGGTGCATAAAGAATAATTATGATTTGTAACAATATCTATGCTAGTAATACTGATTTGTTCAACATATCTCAATGTTGAACCCCCAAAATATGTATAATCAATTTCGATTCAATAAATAAAAGAAATTAAAATAAAAAAAGAAGAAAATACAACTTAGATGTCATGACAAAAGAGGGAAAAAATAAAACTTCCATTTCAAAGCTGGCCATTTGCAAACTTGCAAAATAACTTGTTGAGTGTTCCAATCCTAGAAAATATATTTCTACATTGGTATCAAATTTCAGGTATTAAACAGTCTTTGTTAAAAAGCAAAAATAAATCACTGAAAGCACATGAGAAAAAAAACTCTCAAACCTAATAGCAAATATTACAGTTTGCTCAGCTGAAGTCTTCAGGAACTGACTTTCGAAACTTAATTTCAAAATTAAATATCTAATAAAGCTCTCAGAGCTCCATTGAACAAGTGGAACTGGAATTCCCAATGGAAGCCCCAATTATGAAGAGTTAAGATCTTAAGAAAACTGAAAATGAAAGGAGTGTAATGACCACCGCATAGGATGGTCACTGGCCTTTATCAAAAAGCCGTTCATATTCTCTCTCTCTCACACGCACGCGCACACACACGCACACACACGCACGTGCATGCACACGCACGCACACACACACACACACACACGTGAAGTTTCTTCCACAGAATCACAACGACTGGCAAAAGGGACCATAAAATTTACCTTAAAGTTTCTCCACTGTTATTTAGATCTAGTTAAGCACGTTCATGTCAACTCAGACAGCGGGTGCCCTGTCCTTCACATCTTCCACCGCCTGTGTCACCATCACTTTCATTAAACAGACCCTGTGACTGTGTTCCCTTGCCTGGCAGCCTCGCCAGGACTCTTTCTGGCCACTTTCCATTTGTCCAGTTCCTGTTACTCCCGCTCTTGGGTTAATGTACAACAGGCAACTAACTGCCACATCTTTTACTTTTTCTCCTTTAAAGTTTCATTTTCTTGTAAAAACATTCTGCTTCCCCAGCCAAAATATATGAACAGAATACAAATGAAAGTGACAAGTCATCTTGTCCAGATACTTTGAAAAACAGATCATCCTGTGTCCACTTGATGCTCTTGGCTTCTACATACTCCAGTTCCATCACCTGTTTCAGGAGCTTACCTGCTGCAGTGTCTTTCTACCCGTTTTCTATCTCATATGCAGGTAATAAATTATGGAACTGTTCTGCCCCAAATATTTTAAAAAACAAACCGGTGCAAAACATGAAAAAATTCCTAATATATTCTTTGTGCATTAGTTTTGCGATCTGTACACTTAAATAACTCCAGGAGGATTCTTTTTTTGTTGTTAAAAATTTACCAAAATAGTTTGAACACATAAAAATATTTTTTTAAAAAATCCAGCATAAATTTAACTGTATAGGCATTGGTTAGAGGACATTGTGTTCGGGGCCAGCCCGGTGGCGCACTGCTACAGTGCGCCGCTTGGGAGTGTGGCGGCGCTCCCGCCGAGGGTTCGGATCCCACATACAGACCGGTTCCCGCTCACTGGCTGAGCGAGGTGCGGGCGCCACGCCAAGGGTTGTGATCCCGTTGCCGGTCCCCAGTCCAGTACGGGCGCGACACTGAGGGTTGCGATCCATTGCCGGACACGAGAAAAGACAAAAAAAGGGAAAAAAAAAGAGGACATTGTGTTCACTAAGGATTATATTCAAAACGTTTCTCTTGGGTTTTTACTAAAATTCTGACTCTGAACCTTATAGCTTGTAGTGGTGCCAACTATTAAAAGCAGGAAAATCTAATTCAGTCCAATGTGTTATGCATCATGATATAATAGATAATGAGTATGTCTACACTATAATAAAAAATAAACATATTTTGGTTATTTACAGGCCATCTTCCTGACCTGTAACTAGAGTGACTGTAATTGGTTTAAACTTATTTAAGTGCAGTGAATTATGGAAAGCTAACTTAAGGGTCCGAATAATCAGTTATGAGTACGGAACACCTGCCGACGGCCCCATGACCATTCAGAACCAGGCATTTACTGCGGGGAAAAAGTCACGAGTATTGAATATAGCCCTTAGTCATATGAGGTATTAGCTTCATGCGCAGCCCAGCATGTAGAGGAGGAGGCTGACTTTCCCAGCCACCCACTCCTTGAGGGGACAGTAGTATTCATAGTGAAACTGCTCAAACTCTAGTGTCTGGCGGATTTCACATAAGAAGGAGAGATCAATACCTGACTCCAAAAGGAGGAGGAGCAGGGGAAAGACAAAGAGCAGCAGTCCCAGGCCCACCACAAGGAGCCTGGAAAAGCTCCTGACCAGTGGGTTCACCCGAACATGGCCGGTCAGAAGGTCATAGCTCCAGGACAAAGCTCGGCGAGCCTCCTTCAACTCCTCCTCTTCGGCAATCAAAAAGGCATTTTCATCTGCATCCAGCTCCTCAAAGGAATCCGAGTCTTCTCTTTCGAACTCAAGCCTCGATGGACAGTCGAAGAGCATGTCAATCTCATCGTTGTCAACAGGGGTGGGGAGCAGGCTGGCACTTGGGTCATAGGCTAGTTCAGAGATGGTTAAGGGCTCTCCATTTGTTTTATCTTCCTCTTTGCTTGGGGGATCTTCATACTCCCGGGCTTCCTTCATTGGTGAGCTGGAGATCAAGGGAGCAGAAATGGCATCCTCCTTAGGCAACGGAACACCTGTAAAGAGACTTTTTTAAAATTTTTTATTTCAGGTTTTCTTTTTCCGCAAAAACCTATAGATAGAAACAAACAAACAAACAAAATGAATGGAATTCAAGGAATCTGTGACATCATTCTGGGAAATTCTGACTTTTAACAAAGTCCTGTTAGTAACAGATTCTGTACCATAAGTTCTAAGGTCTACTCTCAAAATAACCGACACTTCTCAAATGGTTGGCAATGTTTACAGCATTTAAGTGTGTGTTCAGGTCTGCAAACCTCCAACTCTCATCATGTTTGCAAGAATAAAATGGCAATAAATCACATTATAATAATGAGTGGTGTCTTTTAGAAGACAACACTATCACCCAATACAGTATTACAATAAAACTATAGAATCGACCATCCAATGATAACCACTTTATTATTTTGCTGTTTTGCTTTCCAGTCTTCACTCAAGGTGCAATGTTGGGGTTTCTAATTTTAGATAATTTATATAATTAAATATTGTATCCACAAACTTACATCTCACCCCTTAACATTTTAATTTAATAATTTTTATGTTGAAATAAACTCCCACCAGTATTATTTACAAGGGCTGCCAAATTATTTAGTTAATACAATAAATTATTTGCTTACTGGAAAACATTGAGATTGCTTTGCAGTTGTAAAAAAAAAAAGATGCTATGAGACATTTTACATGTAAAGCTTTACGTATAAAGCCTCTTGCTTCAGTTCATTTGTCATAGATAGATGTCTAGAAGGGAGATTGCTTCATCAAAAGGTATAAACATTTTTTTAAATGTTTATTGGAGAAAGGTGCAAGAGCTGCCAGGACCATGTGCCTGAGCTGTACCACCCATGCCAGACCAGGCAGGCACCACTGTGGGACTCCCTCAGCCCAGGCCAGTGCACACGGCCCAGAGAAGCCCCCACAGAGAGGCCTGAGAGCTGCTGAGACTGTGCACCCCAAGCTGTGCCACCCATGCCAGACCAGGTAGGCGCTGCCACAGGAACCACCCATCCAAGACCAGCCCCTGTCACCCAGAGAGTCCCCCCAGAGAGGCCCAAAAGCTGCCAGGACCATGCACCCCAAGCCAAGCCACCCATGCTGAACAAGGCAGGTGCCACTGCAGGACTCCCAGCCCAGGCCAGTCACCACTGCCCAGAGAGGCCCAAGCCTCCCACCCACAGGTACTGAGTCAGCCTGCCAAATTGGCAGTCTGGGCAGGATCCTAGCCAGACATTAGGGTCGAATGAGTGGGCTATGAAATTCACTGCCACAACAACTAAACACCAAAGGAAAGATACCAGAAATATGAAAGTCAAGAAAGTGCACCACCAAAGGGTAATTAACTCTCAAGCTATAGATCCCACAGAACAGGAAGTCCTTGAAATGACTGACAAGGAATTTTGAATGATAACTCAAAGGAAACTAACTGAGATATAAGAAAACTCAGTTACACAACACAATGAAATGAGAAAAAGTATACAAGACCTGAAAGAAGAAATGTACAAAGAAATCAATGCCCTGAAAAAAAATGTAGCATAGCTTGCAGAGCTGAAGAATTCATTCAACAAAATAAAAAACACAACAGAGAGTTTAACCAGCAGGCTAGAACAAGCAGAAGAGAGAATTTCTGACCTTGATGATGGGCAGTTTGAAATACCACAGGCAGACAAAAAAAAAAGAAAGAAAAAACAATTAAAAACATTGAAGAAAATTTAAGAGAGATAACAGCACTCAAATATAAGAATCATGGGTATTCTAGAAGGGGAGGAAAAAGGGAACAGCATTGAAAACATATTCAGTGAAATAATGGAAGAAAACTTCCCAGGTATAGGGAAAGACACAGATCTTCAGATTCAGGAGGCTCAAAGATCCCCAAACATATTCAACCAAAAAAGATCCTCTCCAAGACATGTTATAGTCAAACTGGCAAAACTCAAAGACAAAGAGAGAACCTTAAAAGCCACAAGAGAGAAGCATCAAGTCACCTATAAGGGAGCCCCTATCAGACTAACACCAGAGTTTTCATCACAAACCCTAAAAGCCAGAAAAGAGTGGGATGATATATTCAAAATACTAAAAAAGAAAAAAGAAAAGATTGCCAGCCAAGAATATTTCACCCTGCAAGGCTATCCATCTGAAATGAAGGACAAATAGTATATTTCTCAGATAAAAACTGCAGGAGTTCACTACTACACAATCAGCCTTACAAGAATTTCTCAAGGGAGTACTGGGTTTGGTACCTGAAAAACAACTGCCACTGCCATAAATATGCAAGAAAAAACAAAACCCACTAGCAAAATAAACGTGGTAGCAATAAAGAGAAAAAAAGTTTATCTACCACCCTAGGAAACCAAAAAATATAGATGACAGTAAATCAGAAAGAAAAGAGCAAAAGATTCTAAAGACATCCAAATAAAAATCAGTAAAATACTAGGAGTAAATCAACACTTTTCAATAACAACTCAGTGTAAAAGGATTAAAATCCCTACTCAAAAGACACAGACTGACTGACTGGATTAAAATGGCGGACCCAACTATATGCTGCCTTCAACAGACTCACCTCACCTGTAAAGACAAACATAGACTAAGAATGAAAGGATGTAAAATATATACCATGCAAACAGAAATGAAAAATAAGCCAGAGTAGCTATTCTTATATCTGATAAAATAGACTTTAACCCAAAAACCATAAAAAGATAAAGAAGGCCACTACATAATGATAAAAGGATTGATCCATCAAGAAGGCATAACAATCATAAATATATATGCACCCAGTGTTGGAGCAGCCATATTTATAAAGCAAACTCTATTAGACCTAAAGAATGAGATAGACACTAACACCATAATAGCAGGGGACCTGGACACCCCACTCTCAATATTGGACAGATCATCTAGGCAAAGAATCAGCAGAGAAACACATGATCTAAACAATACTCTAGACCAATTGGACTTGGCAGATATCTACAGAACATTCCATCCAACAACCTCAGAATATTCATTCTTCTCATCAGCACATGGATCATTCTCCAGGATAGATCACATGTTATGTCACAAATCAAGTCTCAACAAACTTAAAAAAATTGAAATTATTTCATATATTTTTTCAGACCACAATGGATTAAAATTAGAGAGCAATAACAAATGAAATTCTGGAAGCTATACAAACACATGGAAATTAAACAGCATTCTACTTAATGACATATGGGTCCAAGAAGAAATTAAACAAGAAATCAAAGAATTTCTTGAAAATAGTGATACATCATACCAAAACCTGTGGGATACTGCAAAAGCAGTACTAAGGGGGAAATTCATCACATTAACTGCTTACTTCAGAAGAATGGAAAGATGGCAAGTAACCAACCTAACACTTCGCCTTAAAAAACTAGAAAAACAAGAACAATCCAAACCCAAAGTTAGCAGATGGAAAGAAACAATTAAGATCAGAGCAGAACTTAATCAATTAGAAAACCAAAAAATGATACAAAAGATCAATGAAACAGAAAGTAGGTTTTTTGAAAAGATAAATAAAATTGACAAACCATTAACAAGTCTTACTAAAAAAGAAGAAAGGAGACCCAAATAGCAAAAAGTAGAAATGAAAAAGGTGATATTATAACTGATACCTTAGAAATACAAGAAAGCATTAGAGACTACGATAAACAACTATATGCCAACAAATTTGAAAATCTGGAGGAAATGGATAAATTTCTGGACACACACAGACTACCAAAAGTGAGCCAAAAAGATGTCAAAAATCTTAACAGACCAATAACCATTAAAGAGATTGAAGCTCTTAACAGAAGGCTACCAACAAAGAAAATCCCAGGACCAGATGGGTTCACTGCAGAATTCTATGAAACCTTCAAAGAGGAATTGATACCAATTGTCTACAAACTATTCCAAAAGTTTGAAACAGAGACCATTTTCCCAAACTCATTCTATGAAGCAAACATCAGCATGATACCAAAACATGACAGACAAAGATACAACGAAAAAAGGAAACTACAGGCCAATATCCTTGATGAATATAGATGCAACAATCCTCAATAAAATACTAGCTAACAGAATACAGAAACACATACATAAAATTATACAACATGATCAAGTGGGATTTATCCCAGAGATGCAAGGTTTGTTCAGCATATGCAAATCAATAAATGTGATGCACCACATCAAGAAAATCAAAGACAAAGACCATGTGATCATCTCCATAGATGCTGAAAAAGCATTTGACAAAATTCAACATTCATTCGTGATAAACACTCCCTATAAGTTAGGTATAGATGGTAAGTATCTCAACATAATTAAAGCCATATATGATAAGCCCACTGCCAGTATAATCCTGAACGGAGAAAAGCTGAAAGTTTTTCCATTAAGAACAAGAACTAGACAAGGATGCCCACTCTCCCCACTGCTATTCAACAAAGTGTTAGAAGTACTAGCCAGAGCAATCAGAGAAGGAAATAAAGGTCATCCAGACTGGAAAAGATGAAGGCAAAATGTCCCTGTTTTCAGATGATATGATCCTGTATATCAAACAGCCTAAAGCCTCTACAAAAAAACTCTTAGAGTTGATAAATGATTTCAGCAAAGTTGTAGGATACAAAATCAACACAGAAAAATCAGTAGTGTTTCTATACTCCAACAGTGAACATGCAGAAAAAAAATTGGGAAAGCTAGCCCATTTACAATAGCCACCAAAAAAATAAAATATTTAGGACCAAAGTTAACCAAGGATGTGAAAAATCTCTACAGTGAGAACTACAAACCACTGTTGACAGAAATTAAAGAGGACACAATAGGATGGAAAGATATCCCATGCACTTGGATTGGATGAATTAAGATTGTGAAAATGTCCATATTACCCAAAGTGATTTACAAGTTCAATGCAATCCCCATCAAAATTCAAATGACATTTTTCTCTGAAATGGAAAATATTATTCTAACATTTATATGGAATAATAAAATACAACACATAGCCAAAGTAATTCTGAGCAAAACAATA